AAAAATTTTCCCCCAAAAAAACCGAAAAACTTAGAAAAAATCCCGACATCATCGCGTCGACGCTATTTTCGCCAACTTTGGCCTCAATTTGCTAAAAAACATCGCCTCAGATTCGATCGAGGTCATGTCATAAGATAGTCCTATGTTAGTACTTCAAAGTGTATACAAGCTAATTTGCGCATTTTCAGATTCAAAGATTTGAGCGCCTTTCAAAGTGGGCGGTTTTCACGAGTTTTTGCGGGGCTCAGATGAGCCAAGTTTGACACGCATTTATAGGACCGCTTTTCCCCAGACTGGAGCAAGGGTCACGCTGTTACAGAGTGATAAGACCATAGCTTAAGGTGCAAAGTTCAGTTCTTGCCAATGTTTACCCTTAAAGATTTAGTGGCTCTTCAAAGACCCCAACATATCCACATTTTTCGCGACGTTTTTTTTTAGCCAACTTTAGCCTCAATTTGCTAAAAAACATCGCCTCAGATTCGATCGAGGTCATGTCATAAGATAGTCCTATGTTCCCGATCCGGGAACACCTAACCTAACCTAACCAATTTCTGCACATATTTCTACCGTGATTTTCATGCGAATTATTTGCAACTTTTTCATGATTCTTTCAGTTTCTATGAAGAACTTTAGAATATTTTGAACGGATATAATATATTAAACGATTTATTAGTAGATTCGAACAAATCCAATAATCAGTTATTCAAAAACTCCATTAAAACTATAATTAACTAAGCCTAGATTTTAAAATAATGACCTTGCTCGGAACAATAATAATGCTGTTCTCAGGAACCTAATTAGAAGAATTGCCCGATGGTTGCCTCTTTCCTACACGCATAGGGACACACCCCCTTTCGAAAATAAAATAAACCGCATTTTTATGCTTTCCTACTCCCATTGGACAATTATAGACCTTCAAATAATTAATTCGCAGTTTTAACCTCCGTGGGACATAGTGCAAGCGTACGTTCGTGAAAGTCACGTGCAGGCGAAGTGAGACTCATGCAGTATGAAAATTCATGCACGCTTCCTTCTTTGTCTCTTCTACGGGGCAACTTGCATTGCGAAGACGAACCCAGGGATCATATTACCACTTTATTAGAGTAGATTCCAATTCAGCATGAAATTTTAAATATTTTCAATGTCTTGGACTTTTAACTCAAAAGTTCATCTTTCACATGTTAACCGAATAGTAAACATGAAATACTGTAATGATACCTGGAAATTCAAGTCGCAAATAAAGATTCTCAAAATGTTATAGTGGATTTGAAAATTTAATTAGTATTGATTTAAATTGTGCTCTAAAGAAGTTTGTTTCAATCTGCCCAAAAATCTTACAAAAACTCCGGAAAAACCCATAAAAACCCGCAAAAACCCATTAAACATTAGGGTCTTTCTGGGGATTCGATACCCCAAAAACCCAGAAAAACCTGGGGGTGGCGTGCCCTGATTTTGACGTCATGTTCGTCAATGTTGAAATTTAGTTTCGCATTTTTTTTTAATAGATGGATTCAATGCATAAGTTTGCATGATATGTGTAAATCCAAATGTACACGATTTAGAAAAAAACCATACAGCTTGGCAAAATAAATGGCCAAAAACCCTAATTTTGACGTCATTTTCGGAAATATTGAATAAATTCATATTAACTTATTGTTTTAAATAGATCTAGTTTTGGTTCAAATCGTGTACATGTTTCTACGAATGCATAAATACGCATGAAAAATATGTACAAAACAGTCTGTCACATTACAGACGTACATATTTTTGCTTATCCTAATTGATTTGTGCAGATCAAAGATCTACCAGAAAAACATACCGGTTAACAAATAATAACTCAAATAAAACTCATAATTTGATTCATTTTGAAGCCAGTTTCATAAATACAGTCAAGGAAAGAGGGTAAGATTTAGCCGAAGAAGAGCTAAATTTAGCTCCGGCTTTGCTTAGCCGACCTGGAGCTAGATTTAGCTCCGAGAGCTAAATCTAGCTCCTCAAGCTCAATTTTACTCTGAAAAAGAGCTAAATTTAGCTGATCCTCGGCTAAATTTAGCTTGGTCAGACTTTGAATAGACCGACCGCCTTTATTATACACTGACGGTTGCTTTTGTCAATTTAGGTAAATTAAGCAGGTTTCACTTAACAAATAAGCAATGGCCCAGCTTTGTGTGATCTGGCCCCACCGTGGTTACAGAAACTTAAACGTGAAGGTCATTTTAAATTCATAGTTATAGATTGAATAATTTAAATTTGGCGGAAGATTTGGAGCAAAATTTACCTTTCGGAGCTAAAATTAGCTCCGGATCGGCTAAATAAAGCCGGAGCTAAATTTAGCTCTTCTTCGGCTAAATCTTACCCTCTTTCCTTGACTGAAATATTTTATACGTAAGGTTTGCAAATGTTTAAACAGATATCAGAATAGTTTCGTGTGCATGTTTTTATGAAAATGTAAAAATTTATAAAAAAGTTGTACAAAACAGCAGCATATTTATTTCTTATTCAAAATATTTACTTAGAAATATTTGTAAATTATAAATTATTATAAATTTACTTATCTGTAGATATTTGTAAAAAAATTATATTAAAGAATTTGATGTTACTTTTTTAAAAATATAATTGGATTCACTTACACAAAGTATAATTTGAATGGGGTCGCCATTTTTGGTAAATATTGAAATTCAATTTCGTAATTTGTATACATATTTTTCTAAATTGATAAGTGTGCATGCATACGTATTAAAAAGATGCACCGAAAAATATAGATTGACAAAAAGAAGGCTAAAAGCTAAAAAAAACTCATAGTTTGATCAATTTTGACGTCTTTTTCGTAAATATTATAGTCCTATTTTAATAATTTTTTTTAAAGGTGAAGAGATTAACTTTGCTGTTGTGATTATGTAAATACATTCATAAGTGTGAAAAAGATGTACGAAACAGGAGTCGACCTGTCACTTCAGAGACGTGTGTTTACTTGTTATCATAAATTCACAATGACAATGCGATGGTGTGAAGTGTAACCCTCTGATTAAGATTAATTAAGGGGTTTGAATTTTGTTCGGCTGATACTTTTGTGTATTCTACCAACAAAATCAAATATAAAGGACATTCTTACAGATCAAATTATGTAGTGTGTTTTGGAATATTCCCAAAATTTGGGATTATTTCGGAATTTCTTGTTATTCACGATAATAAGTGCCTATTTATCCTCAAAGAGATGACAGTCAATTATTTTGATTCTCATTTCTTTGCTTATAAAGTCGTAATGGGCGAAAATATAATTTTAGTTAATGTTGAGGATTTAGTTGTACACGATTGTATGGAGATTCAAAAAAATTGCAAAGTTGACGGTTTGTTTGTGACGACTAGGCATCATTTGTAAAGATGTGCATATTTCTTAATACGCTAGAAATTAATCTTATTGAAGAACCAATATAATTGTATAAGTAATATATATAAACATGTACATAATTTAAATATTTAAATCTTATTTGTTTTTGTAATATGTAGAAACATGTGAGAAAATTTAGTTTCTAATAAAACCTCAGTTAAATAAATAAATAAATTGTCATGAAATTGTATACATATTTGCTTCCTCAGAGAAATAAACTATCACCACAAGGAGAGAAATATGTGTAAGACGGAGATAATTCATCACCCATATTATCACCACTAGTAGGTAAATTATTTCCACTAAGAGACAACTTACCATCATATTGAATACATCTTGTAATCCGCAGTAGCAAAATGTATCCGGACAGGTGACGATAATATTTACCCCCGCTCGGGAGACAAAACACATTTGTCAACAGGCGGAGGTGTATTATCACCCTACGGTAGAGTTGCATAGTACCTACACGAGGAGACGATTTTGGTGGCAATTTTGCTGAGAGTGTACAACCAAAGCTTCTTCAGGCAGTTTGTGCGATGGTGCGAATTGGTCAAAATATTTGAGATCAAAGTTGAAAATGTGCAATTTTTGACACGGGAAGAGAATGTAAGTTGAGTTTGCTTCCTCCGCCTGGTAAAAATCGCCAGTTTTTCAAACTTTGACCTCAAACATTTTGACAAATTCCAACCATCGCACAAACTACCTGAAGAAACGTTGGGTGTATTGACATGGACCACACAATTTCAAAATTTTAACCAAATCGGAGGGTTACACTTCACACCATCGCATTGTTAGACAAATCATAATTTGCATGGGGTCGTCATTACCGAAAATTTAAAAATTCAATTTCGTATTTTTTTTATAAATATTGAATTGATACTTGTGCATGCAGGTTTTTCATGTTTTTAGACACGTATGAAAAAACGTCCCAAAATGTACAGATTCACAAAAACTGGGTAAAAAACACATATTGATTTATGATTTTGTTTAGGTTTATTTTTTCTAATTTATGGTTTTTCACCAACGTAAAATCATAATTTGAATGGAGTCGTCATTTTCGAAAATATTGAAGTTCAATTTCTTAATTATTTTATACATTTCAATTTCTTAATTTTTTTATATCAAGTCATATAACAATGATAAGGGTACAGTACATGCATGTTGGTAAACACATGTGAAAAAGATTTACCGGAAATATGCAGATTGACAAGATAACGGCAAATTTTTATTAATTTTGACGTCGTTTTCATAAATATTGAATACGTAGATATTTTCTAAATTTTTTTAGATCTCTAATTTTTATATAGATCTCTAATTTTTATATAGATCTTTAATTTTTGGGTGCTCCTATTTTTATGAATATGTAAATACATACGTATGAAAAATATGTACAAGCCGGCCCTCGACCTGTCACATCGCAGACGTGTATTTATTTGTTATCATAATTGATTTGTGCAGATTCAGTTCGCATAAATAATTTGCATGGGGTGCAGTTTTTATCAGAATTTAGCCAGCTACGCTTTGCACTTGAAGGAAGTGTTGACTCTGTGTGTACATAAAATGTATGATAAAATGCGATAAAATGAAATTCGCGATTGTGCAAATTAAGCATTAATTCATTTTAACGACAAATTCTTCCCGACGTGTATGTACATATGTAGTTATTCAGCGGAGAAACATGTGTTTGTAAACGTGCAGTTTTTATTTCATGGTCATATTTCTCATTTTTGTAAAATATTTCCAGAAATTTAAGTATGAATTGTTCTAACTTGATAAGTTTGGTAATTTTGCTGTTATTTTGTTCTACTGGGTCTAATGGCTCGTTCGGTGGTGGTGAGTTGCATACATATAATTATAGTCAAATCCATGACTTAACGCCAAAATCGTCAAAACCAACACGTTTTTTTATTTTTCGGCTCTGGGAATTTATTTTAAAATTCTGGACGACAAATTTATAGAGCAGGGAGTTGCTAATTTTTTAAAAATATACACTCCAAATTTTGACACTATCAGCAGGAGGAGATCTCAAGTTTAAGAAACCTTCAGAAAAATTGGAACATTTCGAAACTTTAAAACTCACCTCTATTCCATTAATCAACTCACTGACTACAAATTTGTCGATCAGAATTTTAAAATAAATTCTCATAGGCGAGAAATGATTAATAATGTGCAGATTTTGACGATTTCGATGAGTTATATTCCATGAGAGAAGGGACGTCTAGAATTTTTAGAAATTGTACAAAATTCAAAATACCGAGTATGACAGAAATTTCTACAAGCAATTTTCTACCAGAATCATTATTGCCCATAAATTGGGAACTCCCTTCTTTACAAATTTGTCATCCAGAAATTTGAAATATATTTCCAGAGCGGAGAAATTATTTAAAATGTGCTAATTTTCACGATTTTGATGACGCTTAATTAAGTCCTAAGTTAATTATGGCCTAATTTTTTAACGCATTTTTTATCTATGTTTTTTAGGTGACGATGATGACGCCTACGACGACGACATTGACGCCCTGACTGGGATGGAATGTTATCAATGCGTCGAAACCCCGGGGGACCAAGGTCACTTAAGCTGCGAGGTGGAAAGAGGCGATTACAATTTGGACGACTTGTTCCACGAAAATGCGGACGTTTTTGAAAAAATTCTGGAAAATGGGGACGACGAAGATGACGATATTACCAAATTTATCAGAAAAGCGATCTCCGCACTGCCGAAAAATCCTTGTAATTTAATTACGAAAAAAGTACTGGATCTGATATCTTCAGAAGATGACAAAATCCTCCCGATTCACCTGGTTTTTGAAGGGAAAGGTAAAATAAATGGGGAACTTATGAGTGTTTCGGTCGGATGCGAGTAACCACGTGCAAGAAATAACGGGGAGAAAGTAGTTTCTTGCATGCAGGTGAATATTTATTTTGACCTGGGAGAAATGCAAGGCGCAAGAAACTCCGCCCCGCCGGTATGCTTCATTCATACGGCGCGTGGCTTGATGGCGCATATTTCTTGTTTTGCAGAAATTTAGCAAATTGGACTAGATTTTTTCCCGAATTTTGATCGTTTTTACAAGTGTTTCGAACGAAAGTAACTACTTTACACGTGCAAGAAATGTGGAAAACTCACCAAAAAACGAAACACGCCTTCTGTCTTATAACCTAAATATATGTTTAACGGACATAAATATATGTTTCAATTCCAGTTAATTATTTTAGAGTGATCAACAATTGGTTAGGGGTGAATTTTGAAATATTTTTCTTTACACCGTGAATTTCATCAGAATTGAAAGACTTAATCTATTACTACATTTAAATTCCAAGATTGCAAAAATTATAAAATCGACTTCCAAATTCACCTAAGAAATTCCAGGTATGTCATTCACAGTCACTCATCTTTCACTCATTTTCATTCAAATCACAAGAAATTCATTTTCATTCAAATCACAGGAAATTCATTTTAATTCAAATCACAGGAAATTCATTTTCATTCAAATCACAAGAAATTCATTTTCATTCAAATCACAGGAAATTCATTTTCATTCAAATCACAAGAAATTCATTTTCATTCAAATCACAGGAAATTCATTTTAATTCAAATCACAGGAAATTCGTTTTCATTCAAATCACAAGAAATTCATTTTCATTCAAATCACAGGAAATTCATTTTCATTCAAATCACAGGAAATTCATTTTCATTCAAATCACAGGAAATTCATTTTCATTCAAATCACAGGAAATTCATTTTCGTTCAAATCACAGGAAATTCATTTTCATTCAAATCACAGGAAATTCATTTTCATTCAAATCACAAGAAATTCATTTTCATTGAAATCACAAGAAATTCATTTTCATTCACTATCATTCACCATCATAATCACTCAAATGAATGAGAGTGAGGTATTGGCTAGATGGCCCTTATTTCTTGCACTTTCTCCCTGTTTCGTGCACCTCTAATTTCTTCCGTTTCCTGCTTTACACTGCAAGAAATGTGACAAACGCGCAAGAAACGAAACAATATGCTGAAAATTATATAAGTTTCTGAATTTGATTTTTGAAAATTGTTTTGTGCGCAGATGTCAACTCGAGATATTTGGAGCTGAAAGAGGCCATTTCCACGATCCAGTTTCAAAAACGTGAATCCTCCTCGTGGCTCACGGTGGAAGTCCAACTTCGAAATCAGGACGACACATTTTCCTTCATTTTGCCCGATTTTGACCAAGATTTAGTCAGCATTCCGGGCAATTCTATATTTTATACGGCGCTTTAAGAAACAAATTTTTCGTAATTATTATTTATTTTTTGGGAAATTTATGAAACCTTACAGTTCAAAGAAGGACGCTTTATTTTGTAACGGAATTTAAAAAAACTATACAACAAAATTTGTTTTTTGAATATAACCCTCTGGATTTTTTATGATCGAATTTCTTTGAAAATAAAAAGAAATATGTATTTTTCGAAAAATGTTTGTAAATATTTTTTAAATTTATGAAACCTTCAAACAAGGACGTTTTATTTTGTAACGGAACCATTCACACGAAATTTGTATTTTTAAGATAGATAAGATCGGTATATATAATGAAATAGCGTTTTTTTTTCTCGGGTTCTAACGATTTTCGAGTTTGATGGCTTAAAATTTCCTTAATTCTGTGTACCCGTATAAAAATTTTACCTCATTTTATGCATAAAAATTGTGGCATTTTATGTTAGTAACGCGTGTCGTAAATTGGCTGGTTTTTATGGCAAATATATTATGCAGAAAGTATTTTGACCCAAGTAATTATGCATAATTAATTATGGCCAGTGTTTATGTCCAATATTTTATGCATAAAAGGAATATGTCGTAATTTGGCTGCTTTTCATGGCGAAAAAATTTGGCATAAAAAATTTGACATAAAAATTTTCTTTATTTTAGGCTTCAGAAAATTTTTGTAAACAATTTTTGTCCTCATTAGTTAAGATTTACCAGCTTTTTGTTTTCCTCACGAAGAAATTCGGAGAGAGATTTCACAATTTCCTTCCTGGTGGTATTTTTCGACTTCAAAAATATTTTATCCGCAGCAAGATTTCCTGTTGCTGGAGGTCCGTCGAATCCCTCTTCTTTTAAGATGAAGTCTGGAAAAGCACCAAAATAATTACAATTTTTTTTAAGTTAAATCGTTTTCATATGTAATTAATTAATTCCCAAACATACTTATTACTGCGTCCCGTCTGACAGAGTCAATTGCTGGCAGCGTTGCTTTGTCCTGATTTGCATTGCATTTTTTCCCCTGAAGCGAGTGGCCTGATAGCTCGGCTGCTGAAAAAAGTCGACGGAATAAATTTCTCGCCAGTATCGTTGGCTTCGGCGACGCCATTTTAATTGAAGCCAAATCTGATGAAGCGAGGGTAACGCCACTTTCAGGATACAGTTCCACCTAATAACACAATATGTCACAATAACGGGTTTGAAATATCTCTATACAATTAAATGCAATTAAGCACCATACCTCATTAGTTTCTGGAATTCGTTGCTTCAGGTCTCTGTATTTGACTTTGAGCCTCTTAAACTTAATTTTTAGAGCAAAATACTTTTCTTAAAATCATAAAGACAATTATATTATTAGTTATAAAAAAAATTTACTATGAAATAAAAGTGCACACCTTTATAATCATCCACCAGCTTGTTATCCGTACTAGCATTCTCGTTGACTATACCATTGGTGTTTTCATTCTCCTCAATTTCCATTGGGGGCTCGCCTTCGATTTGGTTTCCGATTCTTTCTCTTTCTTCAATTCCAGCTAGCACTTGGTCAATTTTTACGGCGGTTTCTTCATTTATACGTTTTTTACCTAAAATATAAAAGAACAATTATTTAAGCATCGAATCATTAACGTAAGCAAATATTGATGCCATGCATATCTTTACCTTTCTTCTTCCCACCAGTCGCCGTCTTCCGATTGGTTGGATTTTTTGCAGCTGCTTCTGCTAAGCCATCTGCTTCTTCTGACAGGTTACCCTCTTCATCACCTATTAAAATGTTGCACAACATTAAACGAAGAGTTCACTTAACCAAGATATATGTATATACATATATTATGAAACAATAATTTACCTATTTTCAGCACTAGTCCTGGATATATCTTTCCTCTCGTCCATACGATCTGAACAATTTTACCAACAGTTTGTTCTGGTTGACAACGATGACTATTGTCGACTAATTGGTCCAAGCTCACAACTGAATATTGCTTCGGAATATCTTTAACCCATTCAACTAATAAATATTTCACTTTGAAATAAACTAGATTTTGTTTAAAAATTTATAAATATTTTAAGAGAAGATAGGAAGAGCATGTGGGAAGAATTTGAGAATGAACCCAACTGCTCGCTCCACTCGTATTCATTGGGCAGCATTTAGCATCACATTAGTGGGAAATAAATAAAATAAGTTTATCTTATCCAATTAACTTATCAAAACCGTAAAATAATGTCAAGGTCTACAAATTATAAATCTTACTTTTCACCGCAAGGAGTTGGCGAACGACGAATTCCTCAACGAACAAGGCATCGAATCAATTTAAAGGCAGAAATAAACAAAATTCTTTTGAAATAATTTCGTTGGCTAAAACTATTCCTTATATTTACCTTTAGAAATTGGCGTTCGTGGGAGGATTAAGGTCACAAACTGAATCTTCTGAAATTAGAAGTGAGGAAAATTTTTCAGGTGGAAATGCGCAGAATGATAATGTCGACAATGATGCTACTTCGACTGAGTGTTCCAGTGAAGGAGAAAATTTTGATGATAGCCAGGTATTACAAATACACAAGTTACCAACTTGCCTTCATTACCATGAAATTTTAATTTCGTTTACTATAATATTTTAGAGCGCAACTCCAATATATTCAGGGGCCAGAATCTCAAAGATGGAAAGCTCCTTGCTTATATTTGCCATGGCTTTACGACATAATGTAAACAAGACATTATTACATGATCTGCTTACACTTATCAACTTCCATTTGCCTAATGGTGAATCTATCCCGACATCGGTATATTTACTAGAAAAGTCCCTTGGAACAAAGCTGAACGCAGCTCAAAAAATTCCCTACTGTAAACATTGCGGAGAAGTCATCAACCAAAATCATACTGAATGTTCATCATGTAAAGAAGAAGTGTCCCAAAAAAGTGCAATTCATGACGGGGACTTCTTCATTTCTTTTGATGTTGCAGAATCGATTAAACAAGTAGTTCAAATTCAAGATGTACAGAAGTCCCTGATGAAAAATATTAAAAAAAGATCAAGTCCAACGCCATCGTCATATTCCTCAATTTTGGATGGTGAAATGTACAAAAGTCTGAACTTACAGAAACATGATATTACATGCTGCGTTAATACGGACGGAGTCGCAATATTCAACTCTTCGAAATTCAGTATTTGGCCAATATTGCTATCAATAAACGAACTGGATTACCGTTTACGAAGAAAATATACAGTTTTAGCTGCGCTTTGGTTTGGACAAAAAAACCTAACTTCGACACGTTTCTCGGAAGATTTGTGGAACAGGCTTTGAACTTAGCAAATAATGGTATCTCATGGAAATATAAAGACCAACCCCTTAAAAGCAAAGTTTACTTTCCAATGTTAGCAGCGGATTCTGTAGCGAGGTGTCAAATTCAAGGAATAAATCAATTCAATGGAGCATACAGTTGTCCATGGTGTTTAAGTAAAGGAAGAAATTACAAAATATCTGAAAGAAGCCACAAGTGGATATTTGACTCGTCTGAAAAAATTGAATTTAGAAATCACACCTTATTTGTTCAACATTTAAACGAATTAAGAGAAAAACTTTACAGTAATTATCCAACTTCATCGCATTATGGAATTAAATCTGCATCGAAGCTTCTGTGTCTTCCAAAGTTTGATATTGTCAAAGGATTCGTTTTTGATTACATGCACACTGCCCTGCTGGGAATTGCAAGAACGATGCTGTTTGCCTGGACGGATTCAAAGAGCAATAAAAAGCCTTATTATATCGGCAATAAGCTGGACGAAATTAATGGTAGAATTTCAAAATGCAAGATTCCTGCGGAATGTCAGCGCATTGTACGAGCCATTAGCGAAATTAAGTTTTGGAAAGCAAACGAATGGAAAAATTGGATTCTTTTAGCAGTCCCAATATTGAATGGAATACTACCCAATTGTTTTCTAAAACATTTCTCCAAGTTTGTTCGTGCTCTTTCAATTTTAAACCAAGATTCCATCACTGAAGGAGACCTATTGAAGTCCACCGCTTTGATAAGGAAATTCTGCAAGCTAATGCCACAACTTTATGATGAAAGTTTTTGTTCATTTAATTTGCATATTTTTACTCACGCTGTAGATTGTGTCAAAAATTGGGGTCCTTTATGGGGATATTCTCTTTTTCAATTTGAAAACCATAATGGTTTTTTGTGCAACAGCTTCAGTGGAACGAATCAAGTTCCTTCACAAATTTCTCGACGGATTTTGTGCGCCCAAAAAATGTACACGTTAGCAGATTCACAATTCAACTGCTTAGTAGCAAAAGATTTTTACCAATCTTTAATTCATAATCAACGTCTTCGAAAAAACTCCACTAAAATTGGAAATGCTACTTTGCTGGGTTCGGGAAAACTTTATTTTTTTAGCGACAGCGAAAAGAAAGAATTAATTAAAATTGGATTGTCGCATTGTCAAGGTTTAGGATTCAAGTCTTGTATCGTCTCCGGTAAATTATATAGCACAATCTACAACTCAACTAAAAACAGGGCTAATTATATCATTAAATCAAATAATCAATATTTTATAGTTGAAAAAATTATTTATTTGGACGATCAGCAATTTTCAATATTTTTAACCAAAAAATGTACCACTTCTGATGGCAAATATTCTGTAAAAAGTGTTAACGTCCTACGTATAAGTAAGAAAACTAAGATAGTGCTTAGTAATAATTTAGAAGATAAGAAATTTATTTGTATGTATGACACCAATGACAATTTGTCAATAATTTCTGAATTAATGAATATAGTAGAACTTGAATAAACCAATAAATTAATTTGATGCTTTTCTGGATGTTTTTCTTAATATTTTATGGCAAGTCTGGTTAGAAAAATCGTGCATATTTTTTTGGGGTTCAAAATGCGCATAATTAGCCAAGCCTTTATTGTCATAAAACCTTGGACAGAAATGCTATGACCAATTGTACACAATAATTTATGCCCAAAATATAGAGCCGTTTTTGGGATAGTTTTATGCATAAAATGCCACATGTTTTTATGACAAGACGACTGTGCACGGTGAATGTTTAGGATTATGCATAACCAGACAGAGGCATTTTTATACGGGTACATAAAGAACTATAACAAAATTAGGGGGGCGGCGCTTAGCCAGTTTTGGCGATACAAGCCAAAATGTGCGAATTTTTTATAATTTTTTTTTTCAAAATTGCTCATCTTCTTGTAAATGTCTTGATAATGGATGGCAGATAGCATTCGAAATATTTACAAAATAAAGCAAACTTTTTCTTCAATTTTTCCACTAAACTCCAATTATTAATCCAATTATCCAATTATTATCCAATTTTTTATTCTACTGGCAGATTCGCTTCATAATTAATTATCACTTTATATTTATCTTTTAAATTAGAGTGTATGCGACAATTGAAGCATTGTTTTATGCGTAGATGGGAAACTTAAGTATGCCAGTTCAACCTGAAATGCTGAGTCCGCATTGCAGTCGTCGTTCCCGACCAACTAAATGTTCGGGTTTGAATCAAACCTCTAACCAAGCTGGCAACCCAGTATTGATAATGAATAGCAATTAATGCAGATTAAGAATATTAAGATAAGACAAATTTATGGCCCGAGGCAGGGACATACCTGCTCAAAAAAACTTTTTTTCATTCAAAGTTCAGTCATCCCGAATTCTGATTGAAGATTTCCATTCACACTCATTGTCAGTCATTTTCGTGCAAACTCATTTCACTTCATCTGACTTCATTTCTTACTTCGCCCCATGTATTAAGCATAGGGTGAAAAACGAAATGAGTGAAAAATCTTTCATTCACAGTCACTCATCTGAAATGACGGAATCTTTCACTCATTTTCATTTAAATAACAGGAAATTCGTTTTCATTTTTTCATAATCAGTCACATGAATGAAAGTAAACAGGTATGGCCAGTGTCACATGGTGATATATTCTTTAAAGGTAATACTCATAGGTGATTCCAGAAGAAGCGAGGTTACTTCAGATTTTATTTACTACTTTACCAAACAAATTATCGTGTACATAACTATAAAATCTGGCCATAATTAGTAATACTTAATTTAGACGTGGATTGAGCAAAAAACTTGGCAGTGGTAATTAATTCGGCAAAGTTAGGGCAAAAAAAAAGATTATATAATTTTTGTGCGTCGCGTTATAAATAAGGATGCGACTCGCGTTATTTCATCATTATCAGGTTTCATCGGTGAGCTCAAAATCGCTAGAAAACAATTGGGAAACATTTTTTTAGTTGTAAGTACACTCTTAGAAATGGGGTTACGATTATAACCAAAAAGTAAACGTATGTGACTCTACGCCGTGGTTATGAATTTGTCACTAACTGGTTATAAATTTATTAGCTCTGGTGACAATTTAGTACCTAGTCGGTGAGACTTGATAATTAGTCGGTGACAATTGTAACCACTCGATGGCAAATTTATAACCACGGCGGTAGAGTCACATACGTTTACTTTTTGGTTTTAATCGGAACCCCATTTCTAAGAGTGTGTGTTTTATGTAAATGATTTTTTAGGTTTCATCTTACAATGCGATGGTGTGAAGTGTAATCCTCGGATTTGGTTGAAATTTAAAAATGATGTGGTCCAAGTCAATAAAACCCACGTTTCTTGAGGCATTTTGTGCGATGGTCGGAATTTGGCAAAATATTTGACGTTAAAGTTGAAAAATGTGCAATTTTTAGCACGGAAAGAGCATGGAAGTTGCGTTTGCTTCCTCCGCCTGGTAAAAATCGCCAGTTTTTCACCTTGGACCTTAAATATTTTGCCAAATTCCGACCATCGCACAAACTGCCTCAAGAAACGCTGGTTGTATTGACATGGACCACATAATTTCAAAATTTCAAACAAATCAGAGGATTACACTTCGCACGCACCATCGCATTGTTAGTTTTTTTTCATTTTCAGAAAATAATTTTCAATAGGTCTTCTCAAAACTCAACTGGATTCAGAATGTTTGAACTTCGACTCATCATTCTCTCCTGGGCATTTTTCCTTTTTTTGCAAACATTTCGGGGAAGCCTGCGTCTGATGGTGCCTGGGAGCCGGAAGTCGTCAAATTCCAGAATAATTTGCACAAGAGAGATGTCACGTGCTCTGCAAGCTGGTGCAAGAAGGTTCCCAACAAGGTTATAAATAACAGACTGCAGTACATGCGTTTGCCCTATTGGTAGTTATGTAGGTATTCTTAAAGCGAAAAACTTTGTTTTAAAGCACTCTAAAAATATAGCTGTGTCATTGTTTTTGAAAATAAATTAAATTGTTTTTGAAAATATTATTATATTATTGAATATATTATTTATTTTGGATTAAACTACACTCTAAGAAACCCGGTAACTAAGTTATTACCAGCCGGAGTATCTATGGGACACTACCGCATGGTAGTTAATTTATTATTGAGTGGGAAAAAATTAGTTACCAGCTGTTAATATTTTCAAATTTCGTGATTGGGGTTATTACCGGTTTGGTAACAAAGCTGTCTACCACTCAATAATTAATTAATTAATTAATTACCATGGGGTACAGTCACATAGATACTCCGCCTGGTAATAACTTAGTTACCGGGTTTCTTCGAGTGCATAAACAAAATGTTGTACAACATAAGTAGTTGAAGCACGTTTATTTGAAGACATATTTTTTTATCGCGACACAAGGTTTATGCATCAGCGTTTTCCTTGTGGTTATCTGGCGGTCTATCTTGTGATAACTGTCTTTGGAAATTTTGCACATGCTTAAATCATGTAAGATTAGGAATTGAGTACGAAGATGAGCATTCCGGTCAACTCTATATTTTATATGGAACTTTAAAAAACTAATTTTTCGAAATGTACAAAACTTACAATAGAACGTTTTTTACACCGGGATTTTCTGGCGAGTTACATCAAAAAATCAAGCCACAGAATTTACCTTAGAACTTACGTATCTTTGAAAAATTTGTAATTAACCAATTAATTTAACTAATTAATTAACCAATTAATTTAACTAATTAATTTGTACAATTGTTAGTAAAGCCCTGTTATCATACTTATAATAATAACCCAATTAATTAATTCAAGATTCGTAGAAGCTGCTTTTTTCAAAATAATCGAAACATGTATGAAATATTTGCGAGGGAAAAGAGTGAAGATATTATTTGTGATTGTTTTTACGCATTTTTGTGTAATTTTGTGATTTAAAAAAAAATACAACAAAGTTTAATCGTCAAAAAAGATTCGCAGAATTTACGAATTTTTTAATAATGGGTGAAGTGAAATGTTGTAAGCCTTAAAGTCATAAATATAATTTTGTTAAAACGAATAACGCGGTTAATTTAAGATAATATTACAAGGGAAAAGTGTCAAAATATTATTTTTGAATATTATTACGCATTGTTGTGTAATTTTGTATTTTTTAAAATTTTTTCAAGAAATTTTAATAGTCACACAATATTGACGAAATTTACGTGTTTTTGGAAATTTTCAAAAATCAGCGGAAATATTTACATACTTTTCAAATAATACTGATTAAAAAGGTCAGAAATACAATTGTGGTATCAGAAATATCTTAATTACTAAATTGTAGAGTTATAACGAAGAATTTTAATTTTGGAACTTTAATCAACTCACAATGCGATGACGCCAGCGGTCTCGCCCCAATTTTGACGAAACTACGCTAATTATGTAGCCTTAGATAAATAATTAGACACGTGTTTTGAGATTTTTCATAATGCTCAGCTTAAACAAAATTATGACCACATCCGTGAACGAGAATTGCCATTTTCACGGTGACATTTTACTCGCAAGGGAGAAAATTACAGATTCTCCATCATAATTTCGTTTAAGCTTAAAATGCGTGAGCATGAAATGTCTTTTTCCGATTTTACTTATATTGCTTGCACAAATTTTGGAATTTTTAAAATTTTTGAAAATTTCTGAAAATTTTGAAAATTTCTGAAAATTTTGAAAATTTCTGAAAGTTTCGAAAAATGCAGCAAACGAAAATCGTAGAAAACCACTTCGTGCCCACAAATTTTCAGTTTAGACGAAATTATGATGGAATTCGTAATGGAGAATTTATTTTTCTCCCTTGTGAGAAAAATGTCACCGTGAAAATGGCAATTCTCGCTCACGGATTTCGTCATAATTTCGTTTAAGCTGAGCATTATGAAAAATCCCAAAACACGTGTCTAATTATTTATCTAAGGCTACATAATTATAATCGTTTCGTCAAAATCGGAGCGAGACCGCTGGCGTCATCGCATTGTCAGTTCAAACTGAGTTGATTAAGCAGATTTATTGAAAAATCAACAAATTACGGGTGACAGATACATACGTACAATGTTCAAAATTTCGATCGTAACGTTCGTCAAAATATGGATAGAATTTGCGTATTTTTGAGAAATTGATAATTTTGACCAAGACGTCAGAAATAAAATTATGTTAATAGAAATAAGGCAATCATTTAAATCAAGATTCTTACTTCGCATGTTTTACGGTCGGATTTCGTAAAGATATAGGTACGAAAATAAGTTCTAAATAAAACTGAATTCGGATTTCATAAAATTCTGTGAATTTAAATTGGATATAGTAAAATTGCGTTAAGGTCAAGATGTGGATTTCATAAAAAATTTTGCAATTCAATTTCTGCACGGTGCAAATTTGATTGGGTAGATTTTTATGAACAAGCTACAAATTATGTACACGTGTATCTGCATACCTTTTCATTTTCATTCATTTGACGGATTTTGATAATGAATGATAATGAGTGAAAATGAATTTCATTACATTTGAATGAAAATGACTGAAGGATTCCGTCATTTCAGATGAATGATTGTGAATGAAAAAATTTCTCACTCTATTCATTTTCACCCTATATACTTAATACATGGGGCGAAGTAAGAAATGAAGTCGGATGAAGTGAAATGAATTTTAACGAAAATGACTGAATCTGAATGCAAATCTTCAGTAAGAAATCGAACTGACTAACTTTTGAATGAAAACTAAATTGTTGAACAGGTATGGTTTCAATAGATTTAATGTTCACACCTTCAATCGTCAAAATATTGACAGAACTTATCATTTTTTGGGAAATTTTGTATGACTAAAACGTCGGAAATTTAATTTTGTGAAAAGAAACAAAACAATTGCTTAATTCCAGATTGGAGATCCTTTTGACGGTTAACCTAAATTTGCATTTAATTCCAAATTTGGATTTCGTTTGGAAACTTAAATTTTGTATTGTAGAAATTTAGTTAGGAATTTGGCTTTTATGAAAACCAAACCGTTACATACATATTTGTAATTTTTACTAAAAACATTATTAAATTTTTAAGAAATATTTACGAAAGAAATCAGTAAACCTTTTTATGTTCGAATAGATTAAACGCTTAAAAATTCAATGGTCAAGGTCATCAAAATATTAGTAGAATTAGCGTATTTTTTAAAAATTATTAGTTTTTGAAAAGGCAGAAATCAAATTTTGGCAAAAGACAATTATTTAATTCAAGATACAATTCAAAAGAAATTTTGGAAATTTATTTGCATTTAAAGACATTGGACAGGGATTGAGTTAGATTAACGTGTCATCCACAGTAGCCTTAAGTTTCTTTCTTTCATCTTCGCGTTATCGCAATGTCCTGATTGGCTTTCCGAAATTATTCAACAATTATTTCGCAATTATTACACGCTAAATAAAGTTGAGGAAAATATGCGATGACACAACTGGTAGTGTAAAACTGGTTGTGTAAAATTAACCTTATACAGGTAAAATTTACCCGAAATTGAGCGAAAAGTCTTCAACTTTGGGTAAATTTTATTATGCATATGATAAATTTAAATTTTACACAACAGAGTTGTGTCATCGCATATTTTACTCAACCTTGAGTAAATTTTAATCAAATTTATTTAGAGTGTATTGTTACTTTGGGATTTAACAAAAATTTACAAATGTTACGCTATTTTCTAAAAAAAAATACGTCAATTCTACCAATATTTTGAGATGATTCACATTTTGAGCATTAAGGTGCACTTGTATGCAGGTTTTGAAATTAAAATTTGATGTCTCAATTTTTACTACTTTCCATGGATTCAAATGACGATTTTGAAACATGCGTTTTTTGCAAAATTGAAATTTTATTGCATCTAAAAACGGATAATTTTTAAGTTTGGAAAGTTAGAAGGTTATAATTTTGATTCGTTTCTTCCATGAGAAAATAGGAATAAAACAGGTAAAAATTATTCATTACAAATGAAATGCTTGCTCATGGAAGAAAAAAAATCAAAATTCTAACCGTCTAACTTTGTAAACCTAAAAAATTATCGATTTTTGGATGCAATACAATTTTAATTTCGTAAAATTTTTAGAATTTAAATTCTGCATGGTAAACATTTGCTTATGCAGATCTTCACGGCGAATCGAACGAATTGAGTATTTTTCCTGTAATCCTGACGAAAAGTGACCAAATTTTTAAGAATTATTTTGATAATAAATCAGTAAAAATATATGTTTTGGGGCATGCTTACTTAATTTTTTAATGGATTAATACCCAAAGTTAGAATCATCAAAATGGTAAAAATTTTGACAAAATTTTGGCAGATTTTGAAAAATGGGTATGGTTAAAAAGTAAAAAATGAAATTTTGCTAAAAAAGATAATGGAAATAGTTAATTTGAGATAAGCAGTACACAGATTTTTTGTTACATGTTGCAATTGACTTTCATAAATGTGTAATTAAGTCGGAAATCCATTAAGATTTTTAGCTTGCAGAATTTAAATTATCAAAATTTTATATAATCCAAATCTCGAATTAAATGTATATGTGAAAGTACAAAAATGTGTTTTATTTCTTTCAACAAAATTTTATGTTTGACTTTACAATACTACCCGTTTTCCAAAAATATGTAAAGCCTGTCAATATTTTGGTAATTTCGACCACTACAATTTTGAACATATAATCTAAATAAAAATAGTACGTAAAAATGTGTGAAAATCCAAATTTGTATTGTTTTCCTTGATAAATATTTATTAAAAATTTAGCCATTTTTCAAAAATACGTTAAGTCGTCCAAAATATATCTTGACCAACCTAAGGATTGAAATTTTGAGGATTAAAAAATCGCATTTTATGCTAATCCACTCTTTTCGCATTTTTCTAGAGAAACTCTTGCACATAATCCTTTTGACACTTGAAATTGTATTTTGAAAATTATATTATTAAAAAAATTACTTTGAAATACGGATAGGAAAAGTTTAAAATAATTCTGAATACAAAATTCCAGTCTAAAAAAATATTTATTACA